ATTGTCTTTGGCTATTTCTACATTTCACAATTCCTAGTAATGACCCACAGCAAACGGTTCAGAGGTTCAGGACAAATTATCAAAGATGAAATTAAATGTCATCTAAAGTTCACTGAGAAAACAATACGTGAAATGCTGGACTTTCTCCGTGTGTGTGTGTGTGTGTGTGTGTGTGTATGTGTGTGCTTGCGTGCGTGCTTGCGTGCTTGCGTGCGTGCGTGCGTGCGTGTGTTCTGATTTTACTAGTCCAGATTAATGCCATTTTTATATTGCCATACCACTGAGACACCATCACACACACACACACACCATCACACACACACACAAACACACACACACACACACACACACACACACACACACACACACACACACACACACACACACACACACACACACACACACACACACACACACACACACACACACATACACACACACACACACGAATATTCATATATGTATGTATGTATGTATGTATGTATGTATGTATGTATGTATGTATATATATATATATATTGCGGCGTACAGTACATACACATCCACTCACTCACTCAATGGTGTCCCCCGCCGTGATATTGCTGGAATATTGCTAAAAGCGGCGTAAAACCATACTCACTCCCTCATTCTTATGAGAGAGTACTAAACGCCAAAAGAAACATCATAGATATCGACAACTTCCTATTTTGCAGTCAATTTGGTTAATTGTTGAACTGACCACCACCAAATAATTTCAAAGTCTGATGAAGTTGTCTCTTGAAAGAACTGTCATGGATTTTGTGTACAAAATGTGAATTTAACTCTTAAATAGGTGTTTACTTTACGAGGCGTTATAATGACTCTTTGGGTGGTTTGTGGATCATCAATATTTTTCTTTAATATTAAAAATCTGCTCTTCTTGAATGCAATATTTTGTATATTAATTTGTCGGTTGACAAATATTTCTTCAGCAAACTCTGAAACATGACTATAAGTCGGGTGCCAATAGGTATTCCTGTGACCCTTGCTGCTAATATTTACAGATTACCGTCACAAGGAAAATATTAGTTAAACAATATATAAACAAACCAAAATAAACAAGTAAACAGCTTGTTAAAATATTGACTAAAATATCTGTTCAAATATAAGTATTACTTACTGCAGCAGCTGTCAATAAAAATAGCATACTTTTATCGGTGAAACGTTCTTTGTAAACCCAACTTATTCCTCAGGAAGTTTGAACAATTTTCAAAGGAACAAATATAGCATCGACAACCTGTTGTTATCACAATTGTGAGATGGGATTTAATTTACTCAGTGCCATGGTGTCGGTCATCTGACATGACTTATATCCGATGTAACAACGCACGTACAATACATTCGCTTGCAGGCACATGTCAACAAAGAGGGAATATCTATACCAGGAAGCAGAACACAGTTCCTGGGGATAGTAAAGTAACATCCTATCTGAACTTAGTCGTAGACAGAGTAAATTGATAAATGTCACATACAACTAATACGACTGTCCCGTGAAGAATCCGGGCTAGAATTGGCCGTCAGCATCCCATTCTTTTTATAAAAGACGACGAACTGGATCGGGTGGTCAGACTCGGTTATTTTGTTGATGGATGTCATCGTATCCCAATTGCGTGGGCCGATACTCATGATATCAATCACTGGATTGTCTGGTCCAGACTCAATTATTTACAGACCACCGTCATATAGCTGGAATATTGCTGAGTGCGGCGTAAATAGACATGCCGTGATATGACTGGAATACTGTTAAAAGCGGCGTTATACCCAACTCACTCACTCACTCACTTACTACCACCACTACTACTACTACTACTACGACGACGACGACTACTACTACTACTACTACTACGACGACGACGACGACGACTACTACTACTACTACTACGACGACGACGACGACGACGACGACTACTACTACTACTACTACTACTACTGAGTTTACGAATGTAAACTTTCATTACCAGGACATTATCTAAAACTAATCCCTAAATCCCCAAGTTCTGAATTTGCCAAATCTCTCTCTCAATCACTGGTTCGATGATCATCATTGTGCCGTCATATTGCATAGCGTGAATATTGGTGAGTGTGGCGTTCAGCACAGTTAACACACTTTTGCAGGAAACTAAAAATCTCCTCATGATATAGCTTGTTGCAGCTGCTACCATTTTAACACAGATGGACTCTCAACTTTCGTGCACGGAGTTACGTCCCTAAAACTGAACCGGCTCTAGGGTAGTAATTGTCCGGGTGGCAATGGTTGGTGGCAATGATGGGTGGCAATGGTGAGTACTAGTTGTCCGGGTGGTAATGGTGGGTGGCAATGGTGGGTGGCAATGGTGGGTAGTAGTTGTCCGGGTGGCAATGGTGGGTGGCAATGGTGAGTGGTAATGGTGGGTAATAATTGTCCGGGTGGTTATGGTGGGTAGTAGTTGTCCGGGTGGCAATGGTGGGTGGTAGTTGTCCGGGTGGCAACCGTAGGTAGTAGTTGTCCGGGTGGCTATGTTGGGTGGCAATGGTGGGTAGTAGTTGTTCTGATGGCAATGGTGGGTAGTGGTTGTCCGGGTGGCGATGTTGGGTGGTAATTGTCCGGGTGGCAATGGTGGGTAGTAATTGTCTGGGTGGCAATGGTTGGTGGCAATTGTGGGTGGTAATTGTCCGGATGGTAATGGTGGGTGTTAATTGTCCGGGTGGCAATGGTGGGTAGTAGTTGTCTGGGTGGCAATGGTTGGTGGCAATTGTGGGTGGTAATTGTCCGGGTGGTAATGGTGGGTGGTAATTGTCCGGATGGCAAATGGTGGGTAGTAATTGTCTGTGTGGCAATGTTGGGTAGAAAATTATATGAGTGGCAATATTGAGTGATAATTGTCCGGGTTTGAAAGGGGGTTATTAATTGTCCGGATGGCAAATGTTGGGTGGTAATTGTCCGGATGGCAAATAGTGGGTGGTAATGGCCCGGGTGGCAAATGTTGGGTGGTAATTGTCCGGATGGCAAATAGTGGGTGGTAATTGTCCGGGTGGCAAATGTTGGGTGGTAATTGTCCGGATGGCAAATGGTGGGTGGTAACTGTCCGGGTAGCAATGGTGGGTAGTAATTGTCTGGGTGACAATGGTGGGTGGTAATTGTCCGGGTGGCAATGGTGGGTAGTAATTGTCCGGGTGGCAATGGTCGGTGGTAATTGTCCGGGTGGCAATGGTGGTTGGTAATTGTCCGGATGGCAATGGTGGGTAGTAGTTGTCTGGGTGGCAATGGTGGGTGGCAATGGTGGGTGGCAATTGTGGGTGGTAAATGTCTGTGTGGTAATGGTGGTTGGTAATTGTCCGGGTGGCAATTGTGGGTGGTAATTGTCCGGGTTGGAAAGGGGGTTAGTAATTGTCCGGATGGCAAATGTTGGGTGGTAATTGTCCGGATGGCAAATAGTGGGTGGTAATTGTCCGGGTGGCAAATGTTGGGTGGTAATTGTCCGGATGGCAAATGGTGGGTGGTAATTGTCCGGGTGGCAATGGTGGGTAGTAATTGTCTGGGTGACAATGGTGGGCGGTAATTGTCCGGGTAGCAATGTTGGGTGGCAATGGTGAGTGGTAATGGTTGGTAGTAATTGTCCGGATGGCAATGGTGGGTAGTAGTTGTCCGGAAGGCAATGGTGGGTAGTAATTGTCCGGGTGGCAATGGTGGGTAGTAATTGTCTGGATGGCAATGGTGGGTAGTAATTGTCCGGGTGGTAATGGTTGGTAGTAATTGTCTGTGTTGCAATGTTGGGTAGTAATTGTCCGGGTGGTAATGGTGGGTACTAGTTGTCCGGGTGGCAATGGTGGGTAGTAATTGTCCAGGTGACAATGGTAGGTAGTAATTTTCCGGGTGGCAATGGTAGGTAGTAATTTTCCGGGTGGCAATGGTGGGTAGTAATTGTCCGGATGGCAATGGTGGGTAGTAATTGTCCGGATGGCAATGGTGGGTAGTAATTGTCCGGGTGGCAATGGTTGGTAGTGATTGTCAGTGTAACAATGTTGGGTGGTAATTGTCCGGTTGGTAATGGTGGGTGGTAATTGTCCGGGTGGCAATGGTGGGTGGTAATTTACCGGGTGGCAATGGTAGGTAGTAATTGTCTGTGTGGCAATGTTGGGTGGTAATTGTCCGGAAGGTAATGGTGGGTAGTAGTTGTCCGGGTGGCAATGGTGGGTAGTGATTGTCAGTGTAGCAATGTTGGGTGGTAATTGTCCGGGTGGCAATGGTGGGTAGTAGTTGTCCGGGTGGCAGTTGTCCAGCTCGAGGATGTATTGGCGGACTGGCTGGACAGATTAAAAGTGGCTTTGTTTAATCCATACAACCAGATGAATCTCATTCCAACCCATGGGCAGACTCCGTGTATCTATCTACTTGTTCGTGTAGCAAATCGGTTGGTAATTGTCCGGGTGGCAATGATGGGTAGTGATTGTCAGTGTGGCAATGTTGGGTGGTAATTGTCCGGGTGGCAATGGTGGGTAGTAGTTGTCCGGGTGGCAGTTGTCCAGCTCGAGGATGTATTGGCGGACTGGCTGGACAGATTAAAAGTGGCTTTGTTTAATCCGTACAACCAGATGAATCCCATTCCAACCCATGGGCAGACTCCGTGTATCTATCTACTTGTTCGTGAACAATGACTTGGCTCCTTTCCTATCCCATTGCAATAGTAGTATTTCCAAGTTTACACACTCGTCAGAAATCATTCTTCTCGAGAATCAGCGCTCATGTCCGTAAATATTTATCCGTTATCCTTATGACAAATCGGATGAGCAGAGGATGCGATGAGTCCTGGTGACTTGCCAGAAGTATCAGCCCCGTCCATTGTTTCATAGGGGGGACGGGCTTCTGTGTGATATCGATTTTTGCCAATCAAATCTGAAGTTTGCTTTGCGAGTAAACTATGTTTCCGCGGCAGCCTGTTAAAGCTATCTGGTGTTGTGTTTAGGGAATTTCTTAAACGTCAAGGGAGGAATGGATCTTAAATGATCTCCCCTCCCCCGAAATGAGGAGAATGAACTAATCGCTGAGTGCTTTTGGTACGCTGCATATAAAGATATGGAACCTGTTGATACTATCAGATAAAGGATGCGGCAGCAGGGGTGGTGTTGATAACAAGGAGCTGTATTCAGGTAATGTTTTACATCCATCTTAGTACAATTTCATTTAATTATTGAAATGTTTTCACTTTGTAAATATAAAACGTCATCACCAAAGAATAACAAATATCGGAACAGATTCCATTGGTCGTGAAAGGCAAAATAGCAGTGAAAATGATAGGAATGGATCATGTCATTGGGGAGGAGATGCGAAGTCTAGGTTTTTTTCAGTTACAGCAGCAAATTGGGTTTAACGTTGCGTCCAAGATTATTGCACTAAAATAGCGAAGTGTGTGTGTGTGTGTGTGTGTGTGTGTGTGTGTGTGTGTGTGTGTGTGTGTGTGTGAATGTTTTGTTAAATACATGCTTTGGGATCTGAAAGGGTGACTGGCATTGTGACGTCCTTGTAGGGTACAGGAACTTTAAGGTGACTATTTCTTACATGTGTTTCATTTTTGAAAATTTAAATATATGAAAACAATTGAACCATACATATATTAAAACTATTTATACCATTTTGGTAATGTAAGATGCTTAAATTTGATGAGGATGCTACAAGGAAAATCAAATGACTTTTACAATGGAAACCTTATTTTAATGTAAGAGGAACAAATTTTGAGATGAAGATTGGATGCCGCTCTTTGAGAATCGGTTTGCACATGGGTTGGGATTTAGATTGCTTGTTTGCGGTCGATTTCATATTTAGTTTTGTATAGTTTCTGCACATAAGCATATGGTCCAATTCACCATTTTGTTTTATGGTAGAACAATTAGTCAAGAGCGATCACCTCTAGGGATATGATAGTTAGATGGATGCTGACTTTCAGGAATGGCTGCCCACGGGGTACAATACATACCGGGAAGGGTAGGGTACATGATTATGTTCCTGTTGTTGTTGTTGTTGTAATATAAGGCACATTAGCTGTATTTGCTTTAAATTATGTTTGTCGGGACATTTTTGCGTTAAAGTCAAACATTAACACGTCTTTATCTGATGAAAGAACAATTACAACACTCTCTGAACAAATAATCCAGTACTTTTGTTCATTATCTCCTCTCTGGGTGGTGGCGAGCAGGGCGTGGCCTAGCAGTTAAAGTCGTCACGTCCGGGTTCGATTCCACGCATGGATTCAATGTGTGAAGCCCATTCCTGGTGTCCTCCGCCGTGACAATATCATTGCTGGAATATTGCTAAAAGCGGCGTAACATTTTAATCACAGACTCTCAGGTTTACAAGAACATCCGTTACGTCAATATCTAATCTGGAATTACTAACTATCCACACAAGGGTTTTCACGGTATGTTTACCTGAGCATCTTCTGAATGTTAAAATGTTAAAAAAGAAAGAGAAAATGAACTTGAGATCTGATCTGATGAGATCTGAGTGATCAATTTTTATGTTGATAACGTCTGCACCTTTGCCATTGCTAGTATTCTTACACATTTTGAACTGCTTTCCCAAAATGCGTATTTCTCAGGAATGAATAAATATCACATAATTGATATAAGCCCTAAAACAGCAAAGGTGAACATTATGTCACCTCTCTTTTGGGGAGTGTCAGTGTAAACATGAAATCACCAGTATAGATCTAGCGCTACATCCCTCGAGGTATAAAATAGTGATATAAACATTGTAAGAATTGACTTTCACCTATGAACTTACACAAAGTGAAAATCAATTCTTAAGTACTAGTATACTCATGAATTCCATATTGGTAAATTGGTCATTTTAATTCTGTCTACAAACAAGCAGGGTCGGCTGTCATGGAATAAAAACGACGTTATCCATTTTTATAACACCACATAACGTCCGAAAATGAATCTCAACATCTATCCTTCATCGTTGTTGCCGTTGTACATGTATAATTGCGGTGTAACTCACCATTCACCCACCCTTTCTTAAATTACCATAATGAACTGCCAAACATTCACAGTGAATAAGATCCGGGTTAGAATGCTCTTCAGCAACCCCTGTTTGTCGTAAGAGGCGACTAACGTGATACGGTGATCAAGCTAGCTGACTTGGTTTATGCATGTCATCCATCGTATTCCATTTGCCCAGATCGATGCTCATGATGTCAATCGCTGGATTCTCTGGTCCAGACTCGTTTATTTACAGACCGCCGCCATACAGCTGGAATATTGAGTGTTGCGTTAAACAACACACATACACAATGAATACTTTTTGATATGAAAACGATACAATAATACGCTAATAATTTTGGATGGACAGTGTTAAAATGGATTAGGGATGAGCGATTCTTCTATTATTTTTCGCCACTATTAACGTAAGGCAAACTTGCCTCATTTAGGCATTTAGACAAGTGGAGCAGCACTGGGTTGGCTTAGCAAAAGGTCAACAAAGACTTTGGCTTCTCGACACCACAAAACGTAGTATTATTCGTATTGTAGTCATTTGACCACCATTGAAGTTGGCAAACATCTGGTTTTACCGCTGACTGTCAAGGATCCGTTCATATAATTTTAACGGATATTTTGCCTTTTACGCACAATGGAATCGTCGGTTAATCGAGACTGGTTACCTTTTGACGTTCTTTAGTCACATCTTCTGACAAACAGTTGGGACCTATGTGGTAGCCACGGAATAAGAACCAAATTATGTTTAACTAAAACCGATTCTCTATAGCTGAGACAAGTAATCATTACCTACAAACGTCCATTTAGACTTAACGTTAACTAAGCATTCGCGATGGACTTTCGGTCAGTCAAAATCAATGCTTAGCAAAACTATGACATTAGGGAGTGATTCACTTTCGTGTCCATGCTTGTATGCCTTGTAATCACCTTACTTGGTTTGTTCGTGGATGGAATACCATTCTTCCCAAAACGCAATCACTAAATGTGATATCTGTTATCAGTTTATGCACAAGCACTCTGAAGTCTATCTTGTTTTCTTAACACCAGAGAGAGAGAGAGCTAGTAAAAAAAATATACCAAATTAATCATGCGTCAGACAGATAAAATTATAATTTAGTCGAGTTTTTTTAGTAAAAAAATGTTTCTGGTTTTGAACTGAAAAATATCTAGTCTCCATACCAAATCCCTGCTTCACTGATACAATCGGAGGTAATCATTCTGCAAACAACTGAATTTGGCGACCTTAATCTATACCGACACAAGAACTGACAAGAACCAACCATGGTAACCATGGTAACGGTTCTCAAATATTCCTTGTTCAAAAACGTGGCGAAGGAGGGTTGGTTAGTTTGTTGTTTAACGCCGCACTCAGCAATATTCCAGCTATATGACGGCGGTCTGTAAATAATCGAGTCTGGACCAGACAATCCACTGATTAACATCATGAGAATCGATCCACGCAATTGGGATCGATGACATGCATCAACCAAGTCAGCGAGCCTGACCACCCGATCCCGTTAGTTGCCTCTTACGACAAGCATAGTCGCCTTTTATGGCAAGCATGGGTTGCTGAAGGAGGGGACAAGCTAGAGGTTAAAATGATAGTTAGTAGCACCTAAGACCCCGTTTCTATGCCAAATATTATATATGAAGCCCATTTCTAGTGTCCTTGATATTGCTTAAAAAGTTATAAAAGCGGCGTAAAACCATACACAGCTCCAAAAAGGCGAGTGAGTGAATCTGGTTTCGTAGCACAATATATTGTTTATATTTAAGCCAACATAGGTACATGTAGGAGGTCTGAAAGCGATTTAATGGTGAATGAATGTATTTGTATATATTCAAAGTTAATTGGATATTTGGGGAATTATGCCCAAGGCAATTGCCTTACAACAACTTGTGTAAGAACGAACTATTCGTGTATTGTTCAAATGTTTCTATAGGGAAACACACCATACACAGGATAACTTTAGTTAACCTTCTCCGCGAGGTTTGGAAATAATTGCCCGCCGCATGCATGGAAGCGTTTATTAATGCGGTATCTGAGCTGGGGGAGACAATGCCAAGATTCCCCGGGACAGGGAACCGAAAGATGAGTCGACTTCATGAGAGGCTGGAGCTTGCCGGGAACATCACAGCACGATCGGAGCTTACGACGGACACTAATGGAAGGGGGGGGGGGGGGGGGGGGGGGGGAGGAGGAGGAGGAAATGGGGGGGGGGGGGGGGGAAGGAAATGGGGCACTTACATCGTCGTGTGGCACTTGGGTACGACTGATGCAGGAGAGCTTTATGACCACTCTATACATCACTGACACATTGTAATATAACTGTCATACTGTCGTGTCGGAGAGATGATAATTTTATTCAACAAAATGTTGTAGGAGGGGCCCAGCGAACAATGTCTTTTTTATTTATTTATTTTTTATAACTTGTGTTATATTTCTTCCCAATAATTCTAAAACAAATTACTTTAAAAAAACATCCTCCCCTTCCCCTTCTCCAGAATATCAAATGGTCGGCTCTTTGCTGAATCAGATAATATCTCTATGTACGCAACCAACGTTTAATGTGCATGCAGTTAATCGGAGCAAGACTTAAATAATTCCAAAATCTCCAATCCTGTGAATGAATATTCATAACGGTGAAAATGTTGACAAACATCTTTACAATCCATAGTCAAATCAGTCTGCATGTCAAACACGATTATTCCGAGTGAAGAATTTACACGAATTTTCAGAATCAACCATTCCTCCGAGAGACGGAATGGACAGACAGAACCCAGTTATTACATTTGTATTCATACATAACTTCTTTATAGCACCCAGCTGGCTCACGGAAGATCGACATCGTCTTGCCCCGTGACACAAGTCGATTTTACAGAAAAAACACACCACGGAAGCTATTTTGTCTTGAGTAACCTGTATTCTTTAATGACTACAGTAGTTGACCCATTTTAAATTAAATGCTATTTTTTAAATATAATATAAGATTTGACAGTAAATGTCAGTGTATAAAATGATACGTTTCAGTCAAATAATGAAATACGTAATATCTCAAATTCATGTATGAAATTGTCTGATTGTTTCTGCTTATTTTCAAGCATTCCTATAGAAACATATGTAAGCAATTCTTACACTAATGGAGACACGGGCA